TTAAATTTTAAAACTAAATGAGATCAATTTTATAGAAACCGAATAACCCGAACGGAACCAAATTTATTAATCTATGAAATAAATAAACAAAAAGTTATGGGCCTGAGACGTTAGATTTGTATAAATGGGGTTATTTTAGAAATTTAATATTTATAAGACGACCAATGCAAAACACAAGTCAGCATTTTTTATATATTTTGTCTTGAGTGGTTACGATTTCTTCTTTGTCGTAACTTCTAGGGAAGAAGAGAGGGGGAGATAGGGAAGTGAAAAAGGGGGAAACCCTAGATTCGATCTCCATTCGTTGTCTCGAATCGAAACGATGGTCTTTTACTTCAAGGCCCGACCTGATGCTGGCGACTACACCATCTTCATGGGTCTTGATAAGTTCGAGAACGAGGAACTCATCAAATATGGCTTCCCTGAAGATGTCTGGTAAGCTTGAAGATTCCCGATCTTTCTATTTTCCCAATCATCGATTGTTTTGGATTCTGAAGTTTTCTCCGGATCGGTTTTAGTTTTTTTTTTAAATCGAATTCCGAGTTTATTCCATTTGTTTATGGTCATATGTTTTTGTTGTGTCATGATCTGTGGTTGATTGATTGATTTATGTGGTGAATAATTTGAATGAAAGAGGAAGAAAATTATGGTCAACCTTTGTTTTTGATTATTCAACTGAGTTCTATATGTGCTGAATTTTGGTATCTTATATATTTATTTTTTATCGAATTTTGTTATGTTTTGATTTCCAAGAGTTATCCTTCATTCAAATATTCAATGAAGAATTGTGATACTAGCTTTAAACTTTGTCATTGAGATAGATGTTTTTGCATGTCTATTGTCCACTCATTTTATGGTGGCTACATTCAAACTTTCATGTTTGTTGATATGAATAAGGGGTTATGTTATCTTCTAGTTTGATAATTTTCTTTTTCTTAAAACAAAATATTTGAATTTCATGGCTTGTCTATTGACCATATAATCTGTTTCTGCTTAGCGCGGTTCAGTAAGTTGATTCATAACTGAAGTGTATGAGTATTGTCTATTTTCTGCTCTTGCTTTTCCTGCTAACTTGAATATGTGATGTGTTTAGGACGTGAATAAGGTGCTGTTACCTTCTGATTTGACAATTTTCTTCTCTTTATCATATAAATTCTAGGAGCTTCTCTTAGTCAGCATTTTATATTTCGTTTCAGTAAGTTGATTTACGTCGAAGCTGCTATATTAATTTTCATTCGACGCAGGTTCCACGTGGATAAAATGTCGTCGGCTCATGTTTACTTGAGGCTTCATAGAGGCCAAAGTTTTGATGACATTAGTGAAGGTGTGCTGGAGGATTGTGCTCAGCTTGTGAAAGCTAACTCCATTCAAGGTAAAATCTGAAGTCCTTTTCTTTCTACTTGTCCTGAGCTTAGCGTTTGCATAACCGTTAGTGTTGGAGTATCAGCTTGTTCCCATTTCTCAGTTTTGTTTAGAAGGAGGGCACATATAGGCTATTTACTGTTTTCTTACCGACTGGTGTATGGGATTATGTGCCAGGCAACAAGGTGAACAACGTCGATGTTGTGTACACTCCGTGGTCCAACTTGAAGAAAACTGCTTCCATGGATGTTGGTCAAGTTGGTTTCCACAATTCAAAGATGGTAACCTTCTTCATCCTTCAAGAAATTTTGTTTGTGCATACATTAAAACTCTGCTCAAGTACGGTTGCAAAGCGAGGATAATACCTAACTGATATTTGTTTGTTCTTTCAAGGTCCGGACTATCAGAGTGGAGAAGCGAGTCAATGAAATAATTAACAGATTGAACAAAACAAAAGTTGAAAGAACTCCTGATCTGAGAGGTAAGTCTTTGGTTTGTGGGCTCTTCTATGAATTCTAATAAATAGAGATCATAACTACAAATTGTTTAACTTGAGAAGATCTAATAAACTGTATGGTTTGTTCATAATGAAGCTGAGAGAGAAGCAGTGAATGCTGCAGAAAGAGCTGAGAGGAAACTGCATCTGAGGGAGAAGGTCAGTTTCTGTTCCGGTCTCCTTATCATCTGAAAAGTCTTTGATTCGGTTTTTGACTAGAATTCTCGTTGTTTCTTGGTTATTGCAGAAGAAACGCGAAGAGATAGACAGGCTTGAGAAGGAGAGGCAAGCAGAGATGAGGAGTTACAAAGGATTAATGGTAACTGATAAAATGACATCCAACAAAGACATTGCTTCGAGCAACAAATCGCTTCAAGAACTCGAAGACGATTTCATGTAAAACGCCCTGAAGAAAGAAATCAGGAAAAAAAAAACACAAACCAAGTCGGTAACATTCTGCCAGACGTGAAATCTGGTGATGCCCTTCAAAGAAGGCTTATGATGATGTTCTATTAGCCTAAACTTGTGATGATGATGATTGTCCGGTTTTTATGTTTTGTTTCCGAAAACCCTAATTTGGTTCTTTGACTCTTTCGCCCATTGAAATGTTTCAGAGATTGAGAAAAAAAGGAGCCATTATATATCAACTTAGACGAGCCAGTGATCTGGTGCGATCATGGTTTACTCTGCACTTGTGCTCTGTTTGTTGAAATTAGATAATGACTTTAAAAACTTCAAAAAAAATTTAAAGTCCTCACAGTTTTAAAAGTCCCATGTGTTAAAAAAAAGTTCAGGCCAAATATAAATCCATGTGATTTGAAATTTCTTTTATATAAAAGGAGAAGCAAAAATAATCAGAAATAAAATCAGCCAATGAGATGTCTCTAAGATGACATGTTTGGTTTTTAGTTGGGTTTATTCGGATTAAACAATTAAAATCAGCCCAACATCACGTTTTCGGTTCTGAAATTGAATTCTAGTCCAGACAAATGACAAATCTCTTTCTTTTTTCCTCTCGACAAAAAACCCTAATCTCAACCAAATCATTTTGATTTCTCTGTTCACTGTTACACAAACTTAAAACATATTACACGATTCATCTTCTAATCCATCAGTATTTCAAAAGATTTGAGAACAAGTTTCATCCTCAAACTCTTCATTCCAACGAAGTTTCATCCTTAATTTTCTGTAATTCGCAGATTATGTTTATATCTTTTGCTTCCTGTGTATCGAAGATCTGAGAGATGAGAGGTGGTGAACCCAAAGCCAAATCGAAGAGCACTGATGAAAGGTAATCTTAATCCACACATTCGCGAGTATGAGATTCACATTTGTCTTCTCTATTTTGATGTTCTTAACATTTTGATTTCCATTCTTACATTGAAAATCGAAACATGGTGATCCATTCTCTCGACCGTAGCCCTGGTCTTGGACATTGCAGTCACATGGTGGTGTGTGAGCGTGATGGGGATGGGGATGGGGATACATGGTGCGCTTCTAGGGCTTAATGTAAACTCGTGGGCAGTGGCAATAGCCGAGTTTATTTACGTTTTAGGAGGGTGGTGCCCGCATACTTGGACCGGCTTTCGCACTGCTGCTTTTGTTGATCTTATTCCCCTACTCACATTATCGATTTCCTCCGATTTCATGCTCTGGTAATTTTCTTTGCCTGTGGATTAACAAAATGATGATAAATCGCAAACGGGTTGATCAGGCGTTTAACATTTTCTTATGACTCCTTTTGTGTTTGCTTGGAAACAGTTTAGAGTACTGGTACATGAGCATCATCGTCTTAATGACCTGATATACAAATGATGCGAATATCGCAATTGCTGCCTTCTCCATATGGTATATCTAATTGAAATCTACCATGGAAAAAATAAATGATCTATAAAAGGAAAATTGTAATGTTTTTATACTATTGAAAACTAAATCCTCAAGTGAATTTTGCAGCCAATATATATTCACCTGGGAAATGAACGTAAGCGTTGGCTTGATGGGTGCAGCATGGTATGTAACTATATATACACTCATTTAAAATATTTTTAATTAGACTTATATACATATATGTATTCTTTGTTTAATTCTATAGTTTTTGTTGCTCTATCTCTCAATCGGAAAATGTAGCGTTCGAGTGGCGAACGAATTAGGAATAGGAGATGCAGATGCGGTGAAATTCTCCATAAAAGTGGTGTTTGTGGTATCAGCCGTGATCAGTGTGACATGGTCTGGCGTTTGGCGGTGAGATTTCATATATATATTCTCCGATAGGCACGAAGTTTCGGAGGCAGTCGCTGATCTCTCCATAGTCCTTAGCATATCCATTCTCTTAAACATCATCCAGCCCATTCTCTGTGGTTAGAAAATTAAACCCTAATTATATTAGGCATATATATGTTATAACGTAAAGTTTTAGATTTCACTAATTTGTAACCTCAACAAAACTTGAATGTTTGAATATAAAGAGGGGTTGCAATTGGAGCAGCGATGCAGACTATTTGTGAACTAAAGAATTTTCAACAAATGTGATCAGAATCATCGTTATGCTCATTGTTCATGTATTAGGAGAAGAATGCTTCGAAGAACATCGAGGTAATTTCATCTCTTTATCCTTACTGCATTCTTAGCTTGGGTATCTACATCTCAAGTAAATCTAGCTTACATACCTTTCTTAGGTTATGGGTGTGAGTGTTTTGGTTTTCTAGTCTGGAAAGCTTGGTTAAAATCGAGTCCAAAGTTCTGTGTTTTTTGCTTTCTTTGTATGAATTTTAATTTTATCGGATCTGGATTTTATCTCAGCGTTTCCATGAACGATTTTCATATAGAAATTAATTATAAGTCATCGATTTACTGGGGACCAGCTCATATAGACTTCTATAAAGGGAATCACTGCAAACCCAAAAGAGGCAAGCAGAGAGGAAACAAATCTTAAACTTATGCAACGAGTAAAAATCCAGCAAGTTGAAGACCAAGGTAAGTCTTCTAGATCTAAAACTACACAAGAGCTGACATGTTACAGGTGCAAGAAGCAAGGACACGTTGCCAAGTTCTGCCCCACAAGGAAGACTACCACAAAAACAGAACTGATACAACAAATCTTAGGTTGTGATCCGCAAGTCAATGTAAAACCACAAACGGATCCCCTCAATGTAAGTGTTAGTGATATTTTTCTCAAAATGGATAAGAATATTGAACAAGTGATTAGATGCTAAAGAGAAACTAGAAATTGTTTCAACTGCTAACATTGAAAAAGTTCAATATGAAAATTCTTCTTA